AAAATTCGCTAATAATAATACAAAAAAACATTATTATTCCCAAGGATTCTAATAAATAATATTTTAATTTAAGGAAAAAGGAGCTGTTCAAATTAGGCGGTGATCAGGTCGATGAGTCCACGATTGATGTGTGCACGTGCTATGCGGATTACTGTAATGGAAATTCGTCGGCAACATTATCGACGTTATTGATTTCATTTTATGTATCATACATTGACATATATTTTAATATCTATTTCTGAAAATATCATGCCCTTATCAATGATCTTGCCATCATGTAAATAGCTTTGTGATAGCTGGCTCATTTGATTGTCGAACAGTGTTCAATTATTGTTGACACGTTACACACAACCTCTATCATGGATGTATTGATTTTCATACCAGATATTTCCGACATATATATTGATTAATTGATTACTCCAGGTCAGTTCTTGTTCTGATTTTGATTTCACAATCACGGGTATTCAATGTGTCTGCACGTGAGTTCCCTCTGTCTCTCTCTCGTCTGGACATTTAGAATTTATTCAATTTCCAGTGTTTCAATCGATGTGGTGCTCAAATATGATGAAATAAATATCTTACAAAAATCGATAATTTCTTGCAATGATGGTTAAGCAATGAATTTGATGCGAAAATATTTATTAATTGAATATGTGAACAAGCAATAAAAAGCTCTACAAAAATAAGTTGGAGGAGAGTGCGTAAGTTCAACAGAAGGGATAGCATAAAAAGAAAACGCGCGCGTTTATAGTATGATATTGTGCGACATTTTTCTCTTCTCTATTTTTGTTTTTAGGAGAAAGTGAAGGGTGAAAGACTGAAGCCGAGCGTGGAATGTGAGCGTTTAGCAATACCCTTCCGGATATGCAGGCATTTCACGACTCAAAAATCACAAGAATGCAAGTGGAGAGCCTGAGAAGACGCATGCAAAAGAGATCGCTGCAGACATCAAAACTAGTATACAGGGTGTCCCAAAATTATGGGCACTGAAATTCAAAAATTTACTCAGCAAAAGTACTCGATTATTCTCACTCTACATATTTGCTAATGATTTGCTATGCTTGGAGGTCTTCTTGTAATATGTTTGATTGGAGGGTCGAAATCCTCACTATCTTCAGGAGCGGAGGTCTTTTAATTGCCGATCTAACGTCATTTTCGCACGCACAAGTCTCACTATCGGAGCAGTGTCCTTAAAGCGAGGGATTACGATAAGTTTGGACTGGGTTCATAGTGGAAGTGGAGATGCTGAATAATGCCCCAGTGGCGAAAAAAGCAAAGAAATCCGTCAAGAAGGCAAAAATGGGACCCCTTTCTTTGCCCGTTGACCTCCGATAATGGACGAGCTAGCAACCAATTAGGAGGTCGTTTGCACATGTTATGCTGATAGCCTCTATCATTTCAGCAAGCATCATGCTTTGATTGATCACGCATCCCATGAAAAGTTATAGGATACACTCTGGAAGTGGAATATCTCGTCACATTGGCAATCGAAGGGCGCTGCTGCTGGGGGCGGAGCACAGACCGTGGCGGGGCTCAGAAGGAACTAATTTTTAGTCAATTCTCAGGGTGCCACACATTCAGCTCCTATTCAGGATCATGGTGGCATTTGAATGCATATGTGGTCTATGTAGAGATTTGCCTGAGCCAACTAATGTACTGTTCAGTGCTTATACGATTTCGGAGTGTATGAGGCCAGGTAGCCGATGCTGGAGGATGGCAGCGCCGGCTAGTTTGGGCGAGATTAGATCCGAGATTCTCTAGGCCATGCGTGTGGAACCTTTCAGCTTGGGCCTGCTTCTGCCCTTCGTGTTGTGCTCTCATGAAGAGAAAAAGACTTACCAATCCTGGGTTGGCATTATGCATGAACTTCTCATACAATTTTCGTAGTGAATTTTCGAGATGGCATTCTTGAACTGAAAAAAATCTTACTCTTTCTCATTCCTGGAGTCACAGCGGCCGAACCGTAACCTGTAACAGCAGGACTTACCTTGTGCGTCGACACTGATTTGGAGCAGCGGGAGTATGGCTAGGAGGAGCAACATTTCCACTGTGGCTAACTCCTCTCATCACTCATCCCTTTTATGTAATGCACTTCAACTATGCTTGCGTACAAGTATTTTTCCATCAATATCACCCGGAAGCTGTTCGCTATAACACTGCTTTAATGACAGTGTGGTAGTGCTCTTGTCCTTGATCCAATCATCCAGTACTATCGAAAAGCGTGCTCAGCATGACCCTCACGTTTCCTAGCCAACAAGTTTTCTGTGATTTCTATAGAGTATGGGCGAAGGAACAGCGAGCGGTGGAGTGGCTGTTGCAATTGGTTGAGGGATGTTGTCTTGCCTAAGTCAAGAATTGAAGAAATATTCCACTCTATGGAAGAAAAAAACTCCGTCGTCTTCTACATAGATGGCAGAAATCTCCCCTGGAAACGTGGTGCACTGGTCGAGCTCAACCGAGTCCTCGACGGATCGCGCATCATTACGGCGTTCCCTGAGTAGCGGGTTCCGGTGAATGCATAATCAGGGCTAATGCCTTTAGGAAACTATACAGCAGTGAACTCACTCCAGACTTATTAAGAGCTCGGTGCTGGTGCAGTTACGGTAGGTCTCCTTGAGCTCAACAACGATGACGTCATACTCTGAAGACGGTAAAGGCTTGCGCCTGATCACATAGGAATAACACTCCCTTCAACTAGTCTCCATGTCGTCCTTTGTTGAAACCTCGGCATTTGATGTCGATTGTACTGTAAGTGTTTTTATACTGTATGCCAAACGAGGTTTTTTAGGTTTTTTTTTCAAAGGTTTTTCGGCTTCACTGATGTCAACTAACACAGGGACGTGAGCTACTGCTCCGCGACGGTGGAATCTTCGACTATCTCCAGGCCTCTGAAGAAGACGAAGCGGTCGAAACGTAAGGCCAGTAAATAAAGATTCCATCTTAAAAGCCTTGGCATACAGAGTGGTCCAAAATTATGAGGACCGCGTGCGCGCGCAGTCATATCCACTTTTTTCCGTATCGCTCCATTTTCATCTCGTTTTCTGTGCACTATGTGAAAGGGTACAATGTCTTCTTCCTAATGAAACCAAATTTCATGAAGTTCTCAAAACTAGTGAAATAACTACTTCACTTTGAGTCAGTCCTCAAATTGAACTCACTAGGGGCTCTGGCACGTTACATCTAGCAGCAGTCTAACCTATCAGGGAAGCCCTTATGAGCAACAGTTCAACTCTTCAATAAGTTTGGAACCACCACAGATGGAAAATTCGGGGACTCGAAAGTTACAGTTACCACCAGGATAATTATCAGATGCAGAAACTAGGTCTCCCCTTGTCGACTTTCGTACACCCAAAATGAAAAAATTGATGTGAAAACCCAGCCAGACACTCTAAAGACTCCACATCTGTAGTGGGATAGAAAGCCACACGAGTAGTCTACTTGGGACTTCTTACACAGGACCGAGCACCCAAGAATAAAGCAAAAATTCTCAAAAAGCGATTTTTCGAGTTCGTTGCTTTCGAAGAATTGTTACAATGGAACCTTCCACCTAATAGCTCTAGATTTCTGTATTTCACACCCTGGATGCAAGCGCAAATAAATGCCCACAAAAGTTTGATTCCCTGAAGAAAGCAGAGCAGAAGGCCTGGAAACATTTGGACACGCCTCAGTTGCGTGCCACCGCACGCGCCATCCCCCTCATCTGAAGGCTCGTGTTAACGGGGGAAGTGGCAGATCTCAATTCTATTCTGGAATTACTTTGAGGAAGAGTTACAAATACTTCCCTGAAGTTGGTTTGTTCCATCAAGCTACTATGCGTTTTTAACGACACAATGTCTTGGTCCTCATAATTTTGGACCACCCTGTACAGTATAAACACTCCTTTAACCTCGCGACGAAAAAAACCGCTAAAGAGCGACACAAGCAAAGTGTTATTTTTCGGCCACTCCTCCCCCCCCCCCATATTCAAAGGAATGAACCCTTCTTCAACACCTCCACTTGGTCGAGCTCTACATGAAAAGCGAAGCAGATCGCACATTGGTTGCAGTTCGACACCTGCCCAAAATGTGCGTGACTTGTGTAAATTGGATATCCGTTTCTCGGGCTCGTAGTTCATAGACCTCATTCTACACAGAGGCTAATATCGTTTCACATTCACTTCCTGTCCTTGTCGGATACTATTGGATCAATGTAGTCCGCAGGAACAGCCGCACAAACATATTAGACCGGTGTTTGAAAGCCGAAATTTCATTTCCGGACGCCTCTTATGTTGGCTGGGAGTACAAGCATTAGTACAGAGCATTAGGTGATTGTCAGACAGGACACGTGTACTCGCCGAGGTAAAAACGACAACACAATGACCGGTAGAGACTTTTATAGCATACCCACTCCAATAGTGTGGTGCCCCGAAGCTTCGTTGTCATCTTAACATTTCACTGAGGAAGTTGTTGGAAACCTCGGTCTAGAAAAGAAAAAAGAACCTCTCGTGGTCTTAAAAATCAGTCACTGACATCATTATTCCATCGCTGTGGAAATGCTTTTACATTATAAAGTTACAGAGGTGATAGCCGAGCAATGATACAGTGTGTGTGGAAGATGAATTGTAGGTCAAAGCGTAACCGCTGAAGGCAGATGGTCGACAAATTAGTTGCCCGTTGGAAATGGAACCAGAGCGCAGGCGTGGTCTCATCGGTGCTGACGTTATCAACGTGAAGGTTCTGCTGCCTTACTGCTAACACGGCTAGATTCCGACGGTTAGGGGCCGGCAGCCATCACCTGCGGAGTCTTTAGAGGCGGGTAAAGCCTGTCACGTCGCTAGTATTGAGTCTAAAGCTTGTGCTATCACGCCCTTTCAGTCCTTCCAGTAAAATAACGCCCTCCATCTGTTCAGAGACTTGGCCAGACCACTTTACATGTGATCGCGTTAGAAAAGGTGCCTATTTGTTACGGCTGTGTTTGAAATTTATTACTAAGAGCTTCAATAAAATACGGTACTCGCCTTAAAAAACGAAAAAACACGCGAAAAACGCGAATTTGCGTTTTTTTTTCGTTTTTTCGTTATAACTCGGTTCAAAATTGAGATTTTCAAAATCTGAAAAAAGCATTGAACTCAGCTCGTCGAGTTCTATAAGAATATGCTTTTAAACTTTTGGAAAGCCCTACTTCAGATTGCGCCATGCACTCGAGCTTGGCTCGAGAAAAAATTGTTTGAATGTGGTGCGCATATAATCCCGCTTATGCATCATGATCGTTCTTCAGAGAGATGGGTCTCAGTAGTTGCTCCAGAACGCGCCGCGTATTCAACATCGTCCATTGTATTGTGAATGGATCGATTGCTTTTTTTCCAGATTTCATGGTCCCTATTCCATAGCGGCGCGTTAAATGACTCAACATGTACATGACTGCGCTCAACATCTCCTCCTCTGTTCAAATAGAAGCCATAGCTACGACAGTAGAGGAAA